GTTGGACTTAAATGAACCTAGGGTTTAGGAAAACTCTATAAGTATAAGGTAGACGTCTGTGTAGGGTTTTTTTTAAACAAAGCACACGTTTTGTGGAAGTGGAGAAGGAAAAACGCAGTTTTTCACATTCTGCCAAGGTTTGATCAAAGCTCCGATCCCGCTTCGTCCATGGTTCGATCGAGCTGAATTTTGGAGGAGAGGTTCATGACTCAGTGATGCACAATCTGAACGGTGAAGATCAGAGTTTGACCTCGTGAACAGTGATTCGTACTCGTGAACAGTAACCGGGTCGCACATGTTTTTTCCATTCTGCCCAGATTTCATCAAACATCCGATCCCGCTTCGTCCGTGGTCCGATCGATCTAAAATTTGGAGGAGAGGTTCACGACTCAGTGATACACAATCTGAATGGTAGAGATCAGAGTTTGACCTCAGGAACAGTGATTCGTACTCGTGAACAGTAACAGGGCCACACAGGTTTTTTCCATTCTGCCCAGATTTCATCAAACATCCGATCCTGCTTCGTCCGTGGTCCGATCGAGCTGAAATTTGGAGGATAGGTTCATGACTCAGTGTCGCACAATCTGAACGGTGGAGATCAGATTTTGAGTTCGGGAATAGTGTTTCATACCCGTGAACATTAACCGGGTTTTGGAACTCGCCGGGATTTTTTAAGAAGACGACGTTGAAACTTTGAACAAAAGTTTCTGAGGCAAGATTCTATCCTTACTCTTTCACTTAGGCTTCATACTCTTTGCACTCTTAAATGATTTCAGGATTAATGAAGATTAAACCAAACTAAAATGATATCTGTTTTGTTATGAAACTGGTAGTTACAGTAGTGTTGCATGCTTGTTCAACCTAGACTAAGCATGTTTGTGGATGCATTGTGGTTCTGTGGTTTACGTTTTTCCTTACCACTGCTAGTATAAATTATTGGAAGGATGGGTCTAGATGATAGCTATCTTAACTTCTGTAATAGCAATTGTTGGAACTTAAATACTAGGAGGATTTGAGTTTAACACTAGATCGGTTTTGTGGAACACTATAATTTGAGCATGTCTACATGCATACTGTGAATATTGTTTTGATGCTTACATTATCACAGTTAGTATCAACTGTGGAGGTTAGGATTTTGTGATACATACCCTACATATCTGTATGTAATTTGTAAGGTGTTAAATGGAAGTTTTAATTAATTATGTCTTTATATCAGACTAAAGGGAACAACTTCAATTGGGTATGTATATGTTGTTGTTGTGACCCTGTTTATCAATGCTTATTTTATCACTGCTAACATTGAATGTTGGATGTTGGAATTTAGTTGATATATACTTGATTTATTAGTATTATTGACTACTGGATGATTGGAGAGTAGGCACCGGTATGGGACGGTGGCATACTAAGGATGGGTTTGGTTTTTAAAACAATACCATTACCCACCTACTTGGAATAAGGATGGGATTAACTAAAAGTTAAGTCCCGTGGATTTGTATTGTCATGACAACTACTTGTTGAGCGGCAATACCAGGGATTTTGGATGGATTTTATATATGTACTGTTATGGTGCCTCGGTATGAGCTTGAGCCTCAGGACCGATGGCTAGGGAGCGTATATGCATCGGGATGTGTAACTAGCTACGATGGTTGGAGGTGTACCCTGTTTAGGTATAGGTACATATGCCCACTTCGTGTGCGTTTTAGCATGTTACCTCTATTCAGGTTGAGACTGGCCTGTAGTCCAGTGAGAGTCCTTTAGTGTGACTATATATATATATTTACGGACTATTAGCTATTGTTGAATTATTTAGGATGTACATGCGTATCGGGCCTCTGTTTGGATTGTAGTAGTATAGAACTTGCGCGTGGGCCTGACCCACTTCTATTTTTCAGGTACACGACAGTTCCAAGCTTAGACGTGTTCATGCTGAGCAGAGGTCTCTATTCACTCTTCCGACGATATAGGGCTCTCTCTATAGTTTTATTTCTGGACGTTTATTACAGTTGTTCTATCTTCCGTTTAGATGTTTAATAGGGGTCCACTAGAGATGGATTCCCAAGTTGTAAACTGATGGAGTTTTGGAGTTTGGGTTTGATGGATTTTAATAATTATAATATTTTACGGATTCTATTTTTAGTTCCTTCCAGCTTTAATTTCATTTCTTAATTTATTTTGTATTCCGTGTTCATTATAAAATATTAATTGTTTGATATTCCTTCGGGTTTGGGCCTGGGTCTGATCAACCCCGTGTCTCGGATCCGAGGGGTATCACATATGATGAGACAGTGTTACCTTCAGCGATGAGTAGGATAAGATATGCTTTTAATGACTCTTATACCTTAAAAATTCAAGTAGAGCGTAGTAGGATACTCTTAATAAGAAGTCACCTATATGAGTGTGAACTAGGCCCGCTTCTATGAAAACTTCTAAGACTAAGTTTTCTAGATCACTCATGAAATACCAGAAGTTGTTCAGGGCCATATGAACACAACCGTGAAAACTAACTTTGTGCGGGAAGGAACTGTGTGTTTGCTATTGTCTTGGTTTACATCAACAGCTGAATAGTTCAAGATATCATGTTCACTGGTTAGCCAGTAAATCTGATAGTAACACACTAAGGAATGTTCAAGGCCAAAAGCTACCTATCCTGATGCAGTTACTTTCCAATAGTACTCTCTTTAGTGTCTGTATTTTATTCATTTACGATTTACACAAATTTCCATTCATGTGGGGGATTGTTGGAAACGGGAGTATTAAAACCATAAACTTTGGATGAGATTTAGAATAAATTCCGCTAAGAATTGTTTGCGGATCTATAGATGAGCGCGTTCCTCTTCACAAGGAAATGAACGTGGTATATTTACTTTCTCAAATCCGTTTCCGGGTAAATGAGAAATTAGCTCCAAAATGAGGTGTTTGATAAGCCTAAATGGGTTTGCAGTATGTACGAAATGCTTGTCTTACATCAGAAAAATATTAAAACCATTTGAAATATAAATAAGCCTAGTATAGGATTTAGGTTTGGGCCAAAGGCACCCAAGTTTTTAAGAAGGGGAGGACCTAGGTAAGCTTGGGTCCGAACCAACTACCACACACGCGCGCGCCGCCTGCCCGACCCGGTCCGGGCTTGGGCTGGGGTAGGGCGAGGCTTGATTGTAAAATATGTTTAATTTTTTATTAAACGAAATTGTGCTTGTGTGATTGGTTTTTAATTTCATTTTTGCTGGACTTATTTAGATCGGCGAAATTGGGCCTGCTTAATGGGCTGGTTTTTAATTTAAATTAAAAAACCAGATTTCAGTTTTTTCAATAAAAGGTTGCACCCATTCTCTTTAAATTAAACCAATGCATTCAGTTTTTTAACCACCTAACCTGAACCATTATAACCCATGCAGGTGATGGTTCAAGCCGTCCGAAAATGCACCATGAGGCCTATATAAACCCCCCTTTGGGTTCATTCCAAAGCACTCCAATTAAGAATATTTCTCTTACTTCTAAATTCTCTCCTTCTTCTCTCTTCTTCTGTAATTGTCTGTGGGTTCAAGCCATAGTCTTTGGATTCGAGCCTTGGTCAGTGAGTTCGAGTCAGAGAGTACTACACTGAGCTAACTCGCCTATTCATTTGGTTTGCAGTGCTACTACCGAAGGAAGTAAAAGTCGTTGTATCGTGGGAGATAAACGTCACTGAGTCCATTAGCACTATAGGGGGGCGAATCTGTCTTAAGGAAATAGAATCAAATTCTAGCCTGGACTTCTAATCAGGTTCTTTTATCTTATAGTTTTATTTTATTATATTCAACTATATAATAAAAGAAATTATTTATATATATATATATATATATATATATATATATATATATATATATATATATTAGTAGTGTTTAATTGCTTCCTAGGAGTAAGAAATTTTATACTCATTTTTAATTGTAGCCTTAGGATCTAATCCTACGGTAATTAGTTAATTGATTTTTATTTTCTTCATTTTAAGAAACTTACATTTTCTTTCCAAACCATTAAAGAAAAATTACATAATTAGACAATTTATTAAAGAAAACAAAAATAAAATAATTTGGCTACTTTTTTGTCTGGGTTTCTCTGTCTAGTAAAAAAAACACTTCCCCATCACTATCGATTGAATTAACCGAAACCAAATAAAATTAATCAAAAGAGATAAATAAATGGCCATTAAATAAAGATTGCTTGAGAAGTATTGATTATAATCAAAACTCAAATTTCAAGATTGATCCATATTTTATACTCAACTTAATAAAATATTTTGAATTTGTTCAATAACTAATTTAGAATTAGGAGACTACTATTGGCTTTATAATTTTTTTAAAAAGATCCTGCAAAACAAGTCTTAATATATTATTATATACCTATCTAAATGTTCTTGATGTTTTTTTTTTTTTTTTTTTTGGTAAATTAAATATTTAAAGTGTTGATCGGTAAAAGCATGCCAAAATATGTATAATATGATTGCAAATCCCTAGTTTTTTCATAATTTATCAATAGAATTGATAAAGTGTGGAAAAAAACTAAAAATGATGGACTTTTAATTTTAAATTAATTATACTTCGTCTCAGTGGCTGCTTGCGAATTTGGCAAAAAAATAGCCAAATTATTTTATTCTTGTTTCCTTTAATAAATTGTCTAATTTTCATTTTCTTTAATGATATTTAATGGTATGGAAAGAAAATGGAAGTTTCTTAAAATAAAAAAAATAAAAGTCAATTAATTAATTGCCGTAGGATTAGATCCTAAGGCTATAATTAAAAGTGAGTGCAAAATTTTTTGCTCCCAGGGAGCAATTGAACACTACTGATATATATATATATATATTTAGTCATTATAATTTTACATAATATTTAAGTAAATAATACTATAGAATATGGTCTATAGATCACATATTTTGGATAACACATCACAACCAAAGATGACTAAAATGCGTGGTTTATACTCTCATCCATTGACTTGGTCCCTTGAACAATTCTTGATATCTATTGTTATCAATCAATTAATTGCCAATTTTCCTAGCAACTTGCTACGCACACAGACCATGATTTTTTATAAGAACTTGAGGCGAAATCACCCAAGACTAAGACTAAAAACACAAGTCCTTAATTAGCTCGAGATCTCTCTTTTTGTGTTTGTGTGATCATGGCACAACCAAGCTATGCACCACTAGCCAACCCTATATCGATCATAGGCCCTCAGTTTTGCGTTCCTAACCCTGTTGATCTTGCAATTGTTAGAAAAATGTTGGCCATAACCGATGGTAACTTCGTCGTTACAGATCTTAATGACAACTTAATGTTCAAACTAAAAGAAAAAATAATGGCCATTCACGACCGTCTTGTCCTACTTGATGCTGCTGGAAAACCTATTGTCACTCTGCAAGAGAAGGTTCGTTAATTAAAATTCAATCACTTTTAGTACTCTTTGTTTACATATATATATATATATAATTTATATATGTGTATATATACTTTGTTTTTACACACGGTAGTTGGTGGACAAACTTTTTTGGCATATGCAGATATGGACTGCACACAGCAGATGGCAAGTTTTTAGGGGAGATAGCAAAGACCCTGCAGATCTGCTCTTTAGTGCTAAGACATCTTCAATCATTCAACTTAAAACGAAATTAAATGTATACTTAGCTAATAACACAGCAGAGGAGGTATGTGATTTCAAGGTTGAGGGCAGTTGGTTTGAGAGATCTTGTGTTATTTACGCTGGAGAATCTACCAATATTATCGCCCAAGTAACTTGCTTGTCTAATGTAGTTTTTTCTTTTTCTTTTTGTTTTTTCCAACAAACTATTAGATGAAATTGCAAGTAATTTAAACCTAAATAAAATTCAGAGTATAAAATTCCCACTGCGAATTAAATCATGGATTCCACACAAGGGTTGGGATTGTTCCATTTACACGTTAAGATATATGTTGACTCTAGTATAAATTTAAATTAAAGATACCTTTAAGAATTGATAAATGGATAATTATTAATCTAATCATTTCTAACCAAATGATTAATATTATTTTAACTATTGTTACACTTTTATTTTACTTACAAAATTTATTTTATAAATTCGTATGTGTCTTCAGTTACTTTTTAAGGCATGGTGGTAGACAATTAATACTTGAACAATGATACTATTTGCCTTTTACTGAACCCACAGTTATATCGGTTCAGTCTAAAAATGACAACTCTTGACCTATAGTATAGAGAACTATATAGCATTGAATTAAACTTATTTGAATTTTTTTTGAAATAATAGTGAGTGTTTTAATAAGTAAAGTTTGAATTTTTAAATGAAAATGTTTCAATCAATGTATCTTTTAAGTCACTAGACCAATTTTAATGTATAAAGATCGAATTTTTGAAAGAAAATGAGAGTTTTAAATTAAACTTATTCGAGTTCACTTTGAAATCACAGAGAATGTTTTAATGTGTAAAGATTGAATCTTAAAATGAAAATACCTCAATTAAGACACATTTTAAGTCACTAGACCATTTTAATGTATAAAGATTGAATATTTGAAAGAAAATGAGAGTTTTGAGTTAAACTTATTCAAGTTCCATTTGAAGTCACAAAGAGTACTTTAATGAATAAAAATTGAATCTTTGAACAAAAATACCACAATCAAAGTACCTTTTAAGTCACTGGACCTTTTTAATGTATAAAGATTGAATCTTTGAAAGAAAAATAGAGTTCTGAGTTAAACTTATTCGATTTCTCTCTGAAGTCACAAAAAGTATTTTAATGAGTAAAGATTAAATCTTTAAGAAAAAATACCACAATCAATGTACCTTTTAAGTCACTAGACCGTATTGTAGATTGTATCATACAACTCTTGAAATTATTAACACACTGTATAGCGGGGTGATCAATCCATTGTTTGATGAGGCATGGTGGACCTTGATTATTCATGGTATTTCTGTTTGATCATGTTGTGCACGAAATTGATCATAATTGTGGCATAAATGCAGATGCACAAGAAACACACAGTTGAGAGTGTCTTGCTTGGAAAGGACAAGTTTATGGTGACTGTGTATCCTAACGTGGATTATGCCTTCATAGTTGCTCTTATCGTGATCCTTGATGATATCAACAAAGCGGGTGAGAGTTGATTTTTAATAAGTCATCACCCACTAGGGTTTCTAGCTCTACTGTATTCTCATATATATATATATATATATATATATATATATATATAGTTTGTAATTCCCTAAAATTCCCATCTAGAAGATCATAATGGGAATGCTTTGTATGATTGCGTAAATAAAAATACATGCATACCGTGTTGTATTCCATTTTTACCATATATATATAGTTGCTGTGAGTGAAGTCACTAAATACACGATTCATCAAATTCATGAAAGCTGCTGGAGCCTTGGTCAAACCAAATGCCATCACCAGAAACTCGTAATGGTCATACCGTGTACAGAAAGCGGTTTTAGATATATCCTCATCCTTAACCCTTAACTGATAATAACCAAATCTCAAATCAATCTTTGAAAAGCATGTCGCTCCCTTCAAGTGATCAAACAAGTCATCAATTCTAGGTAAAAGATACCTGTTCTTGATCGTAGCGTGATTCAACTTACGATAATCGATGCAAAGTCTCAAAGACCCATCATTCTTCTTTGCAAAAAGAACCAGTGCTCCCCATGGTAAAGCAGTAAAACGAATAAAACCCTTAACTTTCAAATCATCTAGCTGACCTTTCAGCTCATTTAACTTTACCGGTGCCAAACGGTACGGTACCATTGAGATGGGTGTTGTACTAGGAATGACATCAATATGCTAATTGACGAGGATATGAGTTTGGGCCGTTAAAAATATTAAAGAAAGTTCGTGAAAGCATTCTTGAAAGTATTGGAGTATGGGATTAATGTATGTGAAGGTTTGTTGATTGACTTGTTGCAGATGAGAAGTGCTTGCTAAGTGCTTGTTGTTGAGTTGTTGTTTGCTTTGATTGTGCATGCATGGTCGTAGGTCGTTAAATCCTACTCTTGTCCCATGATTCGATGTAACTAGGGGCCTTAGGTAAAAAATAAAAAGTAGCTTTTTCATATCATAATATGCAATATATTAATTATTAAATAATAATTAATTAAAAATCATCCTTCTTATTTTTTGAGATGCAAACTTACTAATTAAATTCTTATATTTAAGTGTGTTTAAATCTAATTGGACCATTTTCTACTAATAAATATTTTTTTCAGGATCATATATATTTGTGGGAATAGTCTTAGAATATGATTTTCGATTACTTGTTTTACTTTCTTCCAATTTTTTTTGTTATTTTTTATCATTATTGTGAATCAAGTCACTGGTATTTCTTTCTTTTAGTATTGTATAATCTTCTAATTCTTTTAGATGATTTGATTGTTCATTTGCTGAACTTTCACTTAAATTTTTTGTTAGGTTTTAATTATTAGTTGTAACAAATTTATCAATAGCTCCATTTTGAGATTGAATTAGTTTATATATTCTTATCTTTTTTTTAAAGTTTTTTAAATCCGGATTCATACTTTCTAGTAGATATATTAAAAAAATATAGGTAAAAATAGTCACAAGACTCACAACTCACAAACAAATATACAAATATATGAAAAATATAGATATATACAAATTTATAATAACAAAAGTTAGTAAAACTAAAAAATAATTAAAGAAAAAGAACAATATAACCTAATTTAGAAAGCCCCAATTCAACGTTGCTGCAAATTCTTCATTAAAAGAAAAGTGCGTTCAAATTAAAATTTGAGACTAATGAATATTGAGTCAATAAGAAAGAAAGTTATAAAGTTGTAAAGAGGGAGGACTGAGAAGGGAGATCATGACTTGTAACTCGTAAGTAACTTGTTGAGTTTGCTGAGAGAAGAGAGAAATCAGAGGATTAGGAATAAGAAAAAATAAATGAATAAAGTAAAATAAAAATCTAGAAATCGGAGGATTAGATAATATGGAAAGTTTCTTCCTTCCCCGTACAATGGCTAAATATTTATTATGATACAACTTATCAAAAAAATATTAAATATATATAGTACTAGTGTAAAAAAAAAAGAATAATAATAAATAAAATAAAATTTTAATGAGATATTTTAGGAGATAAATAAAAAAAAAAAAAGAGATATTTTAGGAGATAAATAATTTCTGTCGGTTAAAATTTAATGAAATGGCGAAAAAAGAAGAATTCTTTTAGGTGATAAATTTTTTAGAATTAATGTTCAATAAGGAAACAATTACAATATATCATATACAAGACAACTATAATATTTTAGGACCTTTTTATTAGTTGGAGCCACCTATGGAGCCACCTAAGGCCGCCTAAGGCTTGAGCCGCCCTTGGTGATTGAGAACTAGTTGCAATATTGCAAGAAAAACACTACTGTTTGCACTGTGAGCGTGAAAAAGTGATATTGTAAATTATTTATAAGACTTGAAATTAAAGTGATATTTTAAATTATTTATAAGACTTGAAATTAAAGTAGATAAATGGAGGTTTTTTTTTTTTTTTTTTTTTGGAAATGTAAACTTATAATAACTACTTAATTTTCTCTAAAAGTTTTCTAGTCTTGCAAGAAGCACTATAATTTTTATTTTATTTTTTCTCTCATCCATTTTACTTTTTTCTACTTGCACTTTTAAATATTTATTTTTTCCATCAAATGCAGTCGAATTAATTATCTTAAAATGTAACTTAACTTTAACGAGAAGCAGCCATCCATTTGATGCAATTGTAAATATAACTTCATATATATATATATATATATATGCTACAAGTAAGTTTTGGCTGGTTATGTAAATGGAATGTTGGTAATGGAATGAGCTGTATCGAAAGATGCTTTGTAATTTGCTTGTATTCTCGGTCGGGTCATAGACTTTTGGGTTCGTGTTAGGTTATGTCAAAAGAAGTCAAAAAGGGTTTAGACCTTTTACAGTTTAATGGACACTCAGAGTTTGTCCACTTAACATCACTCCTTAAAGTAGTGCTTGTCGAATCAGGGACGATAACGATCGCCCTTCATTTCTCTACCTCACAAATTCACATCACTCTCTTCGTAAGAACTTCCAACTCTGTCTTGATTAAAATTCATTTGACAGCCAAACATGTTTAAAAAACAAAACGCTTATTTCGTAGATCAAGTGAGCTCAGGACCGGCTCGGGCCATAGGCAATTTAAGTAATCTCTTAAGGCTCCAGTCAATTGAAAATTCACAAAATTTAAAAAAAAATTATATTATGCTATACTATAATTATTTTTTAATATTATTCAACTCTAATAAATATAAAAAATTTATACTAGGTCTCAAAGATTTATAATCTAAAATAACTTTTAATTTTTTTTCTCTCTCCCCACTCCTTTCGATTTTATATTAGGCCTCAAATATTTATAGCCTAAAATTACTTCTTTTATTTTTCTCTCTCCCCTCATTCATTTCGATTTTATATTAGGCCTAAAATATTTATATCCTAAAATAACTTCTTTTTTTTCGCTTTTATCTATCCACCCTCGTTTCCATTGAACTCTAATTGATACATAAATTTAATATTGGCCTCAAAAGATTTACATCCTTAATTATATGACTTTTTTTTCCTCCCTTTTTCTACTGTCATTCCCATTTTACAATAAATCCTAACCAATATAGAAATTTAATATTAGGCCCCAAAATCTTTTTTTCTCCCTCTCATTCACGTTTTTTACACTAGCACTAAAAACATTTTTGGGTAAGTTACGCCAATAGTAAAATATTAAATATCTATTTAACGTTGTTGTTTGAAAAAAATGGCAAAAACTTTCCATATATATATTATGTTTTATCTTCTTCTTTTCAACAAGTCTTATTCTCCTACCCTAATTACAAGTTTATAGTTGTTATGAACGCATTTTTATTCTATTGAAAAATTTGTAGAAATATTGAATTTGGGTTTTCTAAATCGTGTATATATATTTGTATATTTTGTTTTTGAGTTATGACTAATTTTATTTATATTGTTGAAAAAATCACTTTTTATTTTTCACCCAAGCCCCCAAACTAGATTGAGCCGCCCCTAAATGAGCCAACCAACATCCGTTCATGGTGAGTAAAATGTTCATTAACACGTGTCACAAATAAGTTCAATAAGACTAGTGATCTAACATGACTTCTTGATTATGAATTATTAAAATTTATAGTAAATATTTTCTTTTCTTTTTTTAATAATGTTGCGAAATTAAACAGAAAATACAAGAAAAAAATAAAAAACACACACACAACAAGAGCACATAAATTTTACATTGGTTCACTCAAAATTCAAGGCTACATTTAATGGGTTGCGGAGAGAGTGTCTCACACTAGGACTAGATAACAAGTACAAAAATTACCAAAATATCCTCCAAATAATTCGGGCCGGGAACAAGCCCCCGAATCTTCATCTTCGGGCGGGGGGCTCTGCCACGTTGCGACCTCGGCAACTTATCACGAAGTTAGTGTTGGGATTTATATGCCCTGGCATAGCAAATTCCTATCTAGATTGTATTGACATATGTTCCTGACATATCTGAAATATTTATGATTTATATAATTGGTGAATTCAATGTATTATGTTTCGATTCACTATGAAATTGATAGTGTCCAGTTAATTACAAGAAATATTTATATATATGTATGTGATGACAATCAATGCATGATATATAAATAGTAATTATAAATTGTTCATAGTCGGTAATTATGGATGGACTCATAATTAATTAAGACTTGAACTGGATCCGCGTTAGGTTGAGATATATTGCGAGAGCCGTCGTATGCAATTACTCCCTATTACCGTCATGGCATTTGACTCTTAAGCATGAGAAAAGTATAGACTCTTTTATTAATTAATAATTACTTTGATTTGTTCGGCGGATTCTTCGGGATCCTTAGACCGACACTTTGGGTAGTTATGTAATTAATAGTTAGAGGGTTATATTTTCAATATTTGCATCATTGCTACTTGTATTTATTTTGTATTGATTATGGTTGATCACAAAGTAAATTCGAAGGCCTTCGTGTGTTTTTAGACAAAATGATTTATTATATATTTATTTATTTAAATTATTATTTTTGTCAAACAAATGTTTTATTGTGATCGAGCCAGAAATAATCAAAGGTACCAAAATAAATATATTAATTAAGTAGTCGGATTGATGGCTATATTTATCCGATAACTAATTATGCATAGAGGGGTCAAAGTGCAATATTGACTTAGAGGTTATTTATTATTTAATTGGAGTTCAATTAATTTCTTTTAGTGGAGTAGAAATTAATTTATGAATTAATTGAATTGGGTC